CGCCGCGGTGGGAGAAGATGGCCGAGACAAAGCAAGACCAACGGGCGTCAACGAGCCTCAAGCGTTACGCTACCGCGTCAAACGCTCCCGCCTCCTTGACTTGGGCACACGGGTAATACCCCGACCGAGGAATTCGCAGCAGACCCCCAAAAAGGAAGGCAAGCTGGTACAGAGGACCTCACCCTTGCAGCACCACGGGCACCAGGTTTGGGAGCGCAACCTTTAGAGAAGACCCCTCCCGGCCTCTCCTCGCGGCCCAGGTAGCAACGCAAGCCAGCAGTGGATGCTGTCTCCATACCTACTTGCTGGGGCCTCAACAAGCAGCGTGAAGCACCTGGTCTCCCTTCTGGGGCCTGAGTTCTGCCCATGAACTGGTGACACCGATCTCTAGGTGCTTCTGCATAAACTACATGGACTTGGAAGATGCCCACACCTCCAGCGAGCCACGGAGGGCAGCCGAGCAAGAGCAGCCCTCTCGCACAGGACCTACCTGCAACCCTCCAGCGCGCACTGGAGCGCCAGCCTGCGCCAACGGCAGCGCTGGCCAAGATCTGCGGGACGCCACAGGGACGTGGCTTGCCCTCTGTGGAACCAGACTAGACTTGAGAGCCAACAAAATGTACTGGATGTGACTAAACACTCCAGTAACCCGGAACAGCCCGGCACAGTCACGGAAAGTTCCCGATCCCTCCTAGAACATCACTCACTTCTACAGCTACTTTTAGCCTTCCACACGCTGAGCTCGGATTTGCAGGGCTGAATTTTACATAAAGAAATCAAGATAGGAGAGTCCGGATGTGTCCCCAGCAGATAGCTGGCAGTGACCTCTTGCCTTTGTTCACATCAGGATGATTAAACACACACTAAATATTCTTGGGAATTCTGCCGCATGATCTGCTCTTTAGCACAGGGATTATTTCCCTCGGTTTCACACAGCACCTAACAAGAGCCCACCCCGGCCCAACCCCAGGCCCTCCCACAACACAGCAGCACTCCTGCGACCACGGGAACTCAAAGTGTTCAGAAGGGGTTTCTTTTCCTCACTCTGTCCCCCTGGGACCAAAGGCTAAGTCACGTTTTTGCAGTGCTGATGCTGGAACAGGGCAGTTTTCCCAGCTCCCAGCGCTACCAGCCAGACCAGAAACAGCAGTACTGCAAAGAGAAGCCCCAGCGCTAGCAACTGTCTAAACGTAATCTCCGTCACCGTTCTAACCAGCCTGTGGCGTGATAGCTCAGCCCACGCATTCATCATCAGGCTAGTCGAGCAGGGGCAATTTCCCTCCCTTGAAGAACAGACGTCTCATTGCCGTAGCGAGACCTGCAGTTTACCGAAGGGAGGCTGGGGGCAGTCTGCGTTACCTTCTCAACGGGGAGAAGTGCTGAATCACGCTGACTGCAAAGCAACCACCCTTTCTCATCCCCGCACAAAGGGGCCTCGGCCGGGTTGCAGCAGAGGTTAGTCACGAGGAATGACTACTGGCTGAAAAGTGCTCCTGACAGCTGCAAGGTCCGCAGCATCTCCCAGCACAGAGCACCTTGGTCTCAGCAGCTTTACCAGGATAGAAAAGGGGAGAAGAGGCACCAACAGGCCATACGCAGTTCTTCTACCGGGCTCATAGCTTACAGTGATCCCTAGTCTCAGATCCTTAGAGGCAGGACGCAAACGGGCAGTATGAGCCCATTCAGGCACGCCAGCAAGCTGGTTCATAGCTCTCTTCAACTCATACTTATTCCTGAGGTTCATGACAGAGGCCACAGAAATGAATAGATGGCTGTAAAAGGCTGAGAGGAAACTGGAATACATCAATAACAGGACAAGGAAAAGAAGCAAACCCAAACCCTGCCCTGATGTACCAGAGCTTGCTGCACGCACCTTCACTGCTCCTCCTGCTGGCAAGTGTCCCACATTGTCCAGAGAACCCACTTTCGCTTGGGCCTTCTCCTTGAAGTTCAGCTTCTGGTTCTCAATTTTGACATCTCCTCCCCCTAGAATAAGATTGCATAGGAGCAAACTTATTACCGAACCTGGAACAGGCACACCTGACATCTGTTTCCCTTCCCTGCCACCCCACAAAGACAGCACTGAGATTCCTGTTTACTTTGGAGGAGGGATGCAGCCAACACGTTGTGTCTCAGCTTCTCTCCAGCCACGGTTCAGCTTAAAAACCAGCAAGATCAAAGCTGGTGATCTCCACCTGTGGAGGCTAAGACACACCGCAAGCAAGCAGGGGTGCACAGCAAAGCCCTGGAGGTGCCCTCGGGTAGGAAATACCACATGTCAGGACAGGCAAGCTGGATGACAGACACAAGGCACAACTGCCTTACTAGATCTGCTTCCAAATGTGTCTCCCGCAGTAGGGGTGTGAAATGCTAGTTCAACCTAGTCTCACATCAGTGCATTTCTGATGCCTAGTACCACCTGTCCACTCGTATCTGCATACTTTGCCAAGGTCTTTAGCAGCTCAACTCACTTGTGTACTTGCTGGTGCTGGCAGATCCTATTCCTTTTCATTAACCGTGTTCCTTTATTCATTACCCGTTCCCTGTCCTACTCCACCACGGCAGTTGGTTAACTGCCCGGACTGACAGCTGTCTCCCTGACCGAGATGCAGACCCACACGCCACTGCTCGAACTACTCGGGAGGCAGCAGTGCAGGCAGGGAGAAACCTGGATGGACACTACTGACTTCTTCAGGAGAACCTGAAGAAGGTCAGAAGAACTACTGGAGATTCCTAGCAAGATTTTCCTGGATTTGGAGCGCTGCAGTTCCTGTTAATAAATAAGAGGGTATACGCAGTCCATATTCTAGTATTCTTCTCATTGAACTATTTAAATATTATTGAAGATAACTTTGCTTCTCAGTGACAACATTAAACACGTGAAGTCCTCAGGCACTTACAAAGCTTTGCAAAGCTTTGCATGGCCAATGATGGAAGCCAGTTGCTTCAGCCACATAAAATCAGTTCAACATCTGACACCAGATAGTTCTGGATAGATTATTCTTCTTTAATCAGCCCTGGACAAGAGCAGTTATTGTCGTGCTCAGCTTCCTATTAGACAGTACTGAACAAATGGAAGGTCATGTTTGTGGCACTGCGTTCTCAAAGCGGGAGCGCGTTTTTGAGGCACTGAACCATGCTGCTCTGTGCATAAGGCTGAACTGCTTTCAACCTAGCAGGCCGGCAGACAGGGTACAGGAACCTTCTAGAAGCAGACAAAGACAAGCTTGTCATATTTGTTTTCAGCTTTGGCCAGTGAACGTTCTCTCTCACGCATGGGCGTTTGGTTGCCAGGAGTTTTCCTGTGCAGATCAGGTGCCCTCAGATACAGACCCATCAGCAAAAGCCAGTAAACTGATCGTGCTGTAGGATCCTACAAGAGTATATCATTTAGCCAGTCCACCAGCAGCCACAACACCCTGAACTCCAGACTTGCCTATGCTCCAGCTGAGCCAAGGGATGGTTACTGCTTGGTTAGAAAACCTGAGATTCGCAGGAATTCGTGCAGAATAATTGCTATGTTCTCTGTAGGGAGCAACAAATTCCTGCATACTCATTCCACAATATGTCATTAAAGAGCCAAAAGTGTTTTATGTAAGACAGGAATTGATACGGAAGTGTAGGCTAAAAAATCCCTTGTATTTGCTCTGAAGAAACAGAAGGAAATTTCTTTAACCTTCCATAGTGCCGTCATTCACAGAACTGCTAAGCGCCTTATAAGCACGAATGAAGCTTCCAGGCTCCTGTAACACAGTCATGCTAAATATCGACTTTTTTTCAAACGGGGAGGAAAAGAGAACGGAGTCAAAGCAGTAGGTTAGCTTCACAGATGAGATGAAACTTCACATCTCCTAACCCCCTTCTCCACTCATGAAACTTCTAGGCATTGCTGAGAATCTAGACAGTTCTCTTGGAAGCGCTCCCCGAAAACAACAAACCCTTTAAACTATTCCAGTTACAATCCAGGACAATGTTTAAGTGTCTTGCAGTATTCACAGACAAATCATAAGAAGATGGTAAAATTTCTACCTGGTTTATGCTTGATATTTGCTTTAGAGCCACACTTTGAGGACACTTTGGAAAGGTCAACTTTCTTGTTCTGGATCTGCACCTAAAGAGACAAAAAGAAACAACTCAATGCAAAAAAAAAAAAAAACAACAACAGCAACAACAAAAAACATTTCCTGTGAATCTGGAGGCCAATGGGCCATCTCAAATGTCAGGTCACGCTTTGTGACTTTGTGCCCCTTTCCCACTGAATTATTTTTTCCTATTACTTTCCCGGTCACTGTATGCCAAATGTTATAGTAGGCTTCAGTAATATTTAAAGGCCTGCACCAGCCAAAAGTGGTTAATGTGAGCAGACAGAAACTGAGACCAGATAAAGCCAGCAGAGATGGATAGTGACCAGAAACGAGAGTCTTGAGTTCCTGGCACATCCGTGGAATACAAAAGCACTGGAAGAGGGACCAAAAAAGCCAATTCCATTGCCACGTTCCCCAGACTGTTTCTGCCCAGAGCTAGCTCTGCCTCTGAAGACAGAGGCCACTGCCAGGGTAGCTTCAGACAGTTACCAGGAGAGATGTCGTCTCATGCTTCTACTCAGAGAGACGCTCTCATGCTGTAGGGCCACAGGTAAACCATCAGCTCCGGCTCTCTCTCTCTACTGTCCTCAAGCAAGATGAGGACTGACCCAAGCGTAATTGTTAAGATACATTCACAGCCTCGTCACGTAGCTCTTTTCTCCCTAAGGACAGGAGATCAGGTAGGCTCATCATGCCCAGATGGAACAAACTGCTTTCACAAGCTATCCTTACGGTTTCTCAGAGCCAAAGCACTCAGTGGGCACACTATGTCCTAGTATTATTTTCTTTAATTTCGTTCTACCAGTGACTTGATACTGGCATAGAAAGCCTTCTGTGAAAAATAGTGATGCAATCATGAACTCCTGATATTCGTGACTCAGTAAGGGATTTTCTTCCAAGCCAATAACAAGCCAAATGTTCTAGCATGGCGTTCGTGGACAACAGCTTGAACTTGGGGAAAGGTGTCTTCTTTGGGGTATGATAACGCCAAAGCCCAAATGTCATAGATCATGCCTTTTCCTCAAAGAAAAAAGCTTTTATCCCTGACACTCAGCCTAAGTCCATTGTACAGAGGCCTCTTTCTGACATTTTTAAACTCCTCCTGCAGCTCCAAGTGGATGAAAAATTCCCCTGTTCCTGAACTGACCTCTTGTGTAACTGCATGGACACTCTGTCACTTCATACATTATCACGGGATAATTCAGGTTGGAGGGAACTTCTGGAGATCATCTGGTCACCCCCTCACCGAAAGCAAGGCTAAGTCTGATATTAGATCAGGTAGCTCGGAGCCTCATCCGGTCATGTCATGATGAGTTTCAGAAACATAAGGGTCAATTCTTGCTTGGCTAAGCTGTGAAATGCCAGGTGGAAATGCTTATCACCGAAATTTTTGCAGGAAAAAAAGCATTTTTCTTCCTAGTGATATTAAGAGGATCACCTCTCCCATCCACGTTGGCACCTACCAGCTAGTACCTGTGCGCCACAAAGTTCTGCTACAGAGTCTCTTTCAGCGACAATGACATTCTTTCCTTCTGAACGTGGCAAGAGTTCTTTCCCTTGCAGACTACTCTAAAAGTTCACTAGCACGATAGTTTGTACTCCGTTCTTCCTCAGAAAGCATAAACCCTTCCTGTATGCGTGACGGGTCAAAGCTCTCATGTCTTGTTTGTTCAGAATTACAAGAGCAGGCAAACATAGTCCAACCTCCCGCTATGTTGTTCCACGCTAATGTGTTTTATCCCCTGACTCAGAGAAGGTGGACACACTGAAGAAGTGAGATCACAGCTACTGAATTTGATTTCCCTAGAGGCTGTCAATAAAGTTGCTAGAGCTTTTATAACACGAGTATTTGTTTGCTTGGAACTGGACTAAAACTAAGGTTAGTTTCACAGAAGTGCATTCAAAACGTAATAATGTTCATGATCAGCTAGGGTGGGCGGACTCAGTTATGACTCCGCATGATTTCACCTGGGGATCTAAACACTTGGACCTGAACAGAAGTGCATTGGTTGTAAGATTGCTAACACGAGTTTTTTAAGTTTGCGATGGCAGATTGATTTAAATGTTTAACCTTGCATTTACAGAGCCAAATACTAAGACTCAAACGCCAGAACGTTTAGACTTAAAAGCCGGACCGAGAGGCTCAGGTACAAAGTATGATCCTCACTTCTTTTTAGGTTTTGCACTTCTGACCGTTCACAACCCAGATAAAGCCACAAGGTAGAGAAACATATGTAAATTCCAAATCACCCTGTTCAAATCCTGCAACAACATATATGCCATCCGCACTTTGGAAAGTCTCTCTTCACTGTTACTTTCTTTACAGTGAGAGGGGAAAAATACTAAAGTGCAACAAAAGCTTTTGCCCAGGAAATCTAACGATGTTTGTCTCAAGATATTTCTGCCAAATATAATGGAAATAGCAACATCTACTGCTTTTGAACATGTCGTCTTCGGTGTCTTGGAGGGAGGAAGAAGTTATCTCCGTGTATAGTAGGCAAAATGGATATCCTTGTAGAATTTACCCGATGAGCCCCAATTAATTCACTTGGGTAGGATGTCAATCTCTTCTGCCAGAGCAACCCTAAAGCTGAATCATAATTTCCTACTAACCACATCTCTTGTCCATACGATTCCTAAAAGCCTTTAACTCAAGCCACAGCCTGGAATGATGGACTTTTTCAGACACCCCCACCAGCAGCGCGCTTCAGGAGTAAAACACAGGAAATCCATCAGAAGCGATCATCATGACTATTTGAACAAGAGAACATCGTGGAAGAGGACACTCACATTACAGTGCCCCCAAAGCAACTGAGCGGATATACAAACGAATAAAAGGAAACGCTGTTATAGGAAGCCAGATTGGCCACTGTGTCTCTTCTACTCACATTGGTACTGCCTGGGCTGGGTTTGGGGGCGTTGGATAGCTGGGAACGACTGTCTGAAGCTGGTTTGGGGGCATTTGGAACCTGAAAATAAGCAGCACTTTATTCTTAAAGATAAAAGCTTAAGTAGTGGAGCAAGGAGAAAAACTGCAACAGTTAAGAAGAGAGTGTGGAAAAAGAGAAGAAGAAAGCAGGCACAGACACCTGTCCCCTAGAGTTGGAAATGTCCCCAGGACAGGACAAAAGAACAGCAAAATGCAAGGAGGAAGGGACAGGTTTGGTGAATTCTTACAAGAAATAATAATTCATTAATGTAGTTAATGCAGCAGGAAAAACATCTCCATATTTAAAGTACACTTCTGTTGGCCCCCAAAAAGGAAACGTACGCGTGAGACCCCTTGCTCATTAAAAGACCGTATAAGATACGACCAGCAAAAGCAATAAAATAAAGCTCCTTTGAGTGCACGAACACTTCAGTTACAACAGCTGCTCTTTAACAGCGCAGCCAAAGGGACTTCTGCCACAAAACACAGATTATCTATAAACAGTCTGTACCAAATTTGGGTGGCAAAATTAGATGAAATATGCAGTAGGAACAGACGCGCAGAGCGAGAAAAACTATCGTGAGGACGGCCAACTGACGCGGTCTCAAACTCAGCTTTGCTTTCTGTGTTGCAAAGCAGAGAATTCTCCTGTTTGAGCACTTCTACAGGAAGCTCCATACACATACTGTACCCCTATAAACATCAGGTAAGTCACAGAGATATCAAGAAAGAACGGTACATCCCACCACTGGTGAGTATCAGCATATTGGAAGGCAAGGAGGACAGCAAAGACACTCGTAAGCCAACCATTCCCAACAGGAAGCGAAGCCTAGTTAAGTGAACGTTGCATGTGCGACTGCAACTTCTGTCTTTCAACACCTTGGAAGAAAAGCTGCAACCAACCTGTAAAGAACAAGTTTGTTAAAATCCCCAGAAAGGTCTTTGGTAACCTCTCGTAAAGATTTAAGGAAGATTTGGTCAAGCAGAGTAAAGATCCAGCCAATTAGACAAATACGCAAATATTTCCCAGGAAAAGCGGCCACAGCAGTTTGCACCATGGTCACGTCCCACAGAGCAGTCGCATCCTCTGGACGACACGGCTAACAGAACTTGCTGAGTAACAATAAGTTCAGCCCCAGAAACGGAGTATTTGCAGACTGAGGATGCAAATTACCTCCCGGGGCCACTGTGGAAGAAGTGGGGCAAGGATCTGCTCTCCCTTTTTTGTCAGGGTCTAATCCTGCCACCGCACCCAGCCAGGGGAACGGGCAGAAGGCAGCAACTGCCTGCAGCAAGACATGACGCGAGGACGCAAGGAAGCTCATAGATGCTGGCTCTTGTGCACTGGGCACAGAGAAAACACTGGAAGAGGTGATAGCTGGGCAGCTCTCTCGTCAGCCTCCTGGCACACACAAACAGCAACGGGAGAACTCCCTTGCACTTCAGTACTTCATGGCCTTTTTGAAACCACCCAAGACTTGTATTTCTACAAAGTATTACTAGTACAAACAGGCTGGCATAGATTTGTTAAGGTAGTACGGACTGTGTCAACAAGGAAACAAGCCTGCCAAGCTACCAAAATGTTTTCAAAACCTTTAGTATCTAGATTTATTTAAAAAACAAAAACAAAAAACACACACACACACAACACTTTCGGGATATAATACTCCAAATCATGTCCACAGACATCACAAGATTAGCCCTCTACCTTAATAAGCTCAACTCTGCTACCAGAGACACTAGTAGCCTTTAAATTTAGAAATTAATCACAGCTCAAAGATTAAGTCCCAGAGTATTTGCTGCCTCTTTTTCCAATGTCTCCCTTCTTACAAAACAAGAAGGGAAATTAATCTGACCTCAGGCTTGCTGTGTTAGCCAGTGAAGAGTAACGGGCACTTCTAAGGCACAACTCATTTCATCCTAAAATCAGACACGTAAAGAGGTCAGGGGACTGATGAAGTGCCTCCATCTACAACGGGAATTCAGGGTGAACCAACTCCAGAGGTCAATGTGCACACCGCACGTTTGGTCAATGACCACCACGAAAGCCATAGGAGAAATAGGTCAGGTGTATCTGTACTACTGTGAAACAAAACACACCCAGAGATTCAGCCTAGCATCTCCCAGAAAAGCAGTCTCCAGCCTACACTCTTCCCAGCAGCCCTGTCATCCTGCCACGCTCTGTTTCAGGCAGACAGGTATGAAGACCCACAAATAAAAACGTAGCACAAGAAAAGGAGTTAGTGGAAAGACAGCTTGCCCAGAGCCCATACTTACATTCCCACCTCCAGGGACATGCTTAATATTGTCCTTGGACCCACACTTGGACTGAACATGGCTGTAGTTCGCTTTTTTGGAGACTATCTGGACCTGGAACGTTACAGAATGGAAAAACAACACAAGGGAAGAGGACTGGTTAGAACTGTCATACGGCAGGCTGGAGCGGATGCTCTAACATGGATAAACAAGGAGTCGTGTTAAACTCGATCCAACATCAGTATTAGGTGTGAAAGCAATTGAGGAGGAGAGCGAGAAAAAAGTGAACGAGACAAGAGGCTGCACAGACAGTGTTAGTGCAAGAGCATAAGCGCTACGGTGAAAGAGCACTTATCTACCTACACCCCGGCTTAGCGCCACCCAAGCGCCTGCCTGCCTGAAGGGCCAGTCTGGGGTACGCTGGCGGTTCCCACACAAAGCCTCCTAGGAGGTCTCTAGTGGGAGCATCCCCAGGGCCTGCTGAGCCACAGGTGCCAGCCCAGAGCCAGCTCAGCTGCCTCTTCCCCTCTATGGGTCCAAAACCGTGAGTCACCACTTCTAACAAACCTATTAATTGGTTAGTCTCCGCATTTTTAACTATTTCCACATGTCTGGATCGACTCCAGCCTTGGGTAATGTCTTTCAAAACCTCTGAACAGTAAAGCCCAGTGTGAGAAACAGCTGCTCTGCTGAAGGTCGTAAAGCCTCCAGTTAAATTTTATCAGAACAAGTGTTATGTTAATCACATAGATGCATTTCTCCTTTAAACTCAGATGACTCTGACTTTTTCAAAACTACAAAAGGACTCTGCTAAATGAGCTCACTTTTACTCGCAAAGGTGAAGTAACTGAGCGAGAGAGCAATAGGTCCATTTTTACACAGGGTTAGTTACAACAAGTGCTTAGTCTAGGAGTTATTTAACACAGCACAAAACATGGCAGAAGCTGTATCCTCGAGTACTTCTAGAAAGAGGTGATAAATTTAAAGCACAAAAGGAACCACCAGAACACTCTCACTTTAAACAAAAGTTTCCAAAAGCTACTTCGCCTGTTTAGAAAGGCTGGATTCAGGGCAATAGCAATACTGGAACATACTCTCGCCGTATGATTTTACGCTGGTTTGCTGACTCCTCTAGAGGTACCAATTAATGGGCAGCACCTGGTAACATCCGAGTTAAACCCAGCCTAACAGCCAGTGCCTCCCCATCGCCCGTGGCTCACGTACTGAAGTACAACGTCACGACAGAGCGTCAGAGTAAACCACTGGGGACCCTCTCCCGTGTGCAGCTCAGCTACGTTGGGGAAATTGCTGGAAAAATTAAGCTCTTAACGTTCTGCAACCTTAATGAAAACAGGCAGCGTTGAACTAAAACTCTCCCCCTTGTTACAAACTCATGTCAGATGAGACAACTTGTCTTCACAGGCAATTTCCAGCTCGCTCTGAAGGTGAAAAGGGAGGACTCTGCTCTGAAAACATTTACGGCAGGCATTGAAAAGGAAGTCTGTAGTGGAGATCACCAGGGATGCCTCTCCGGGTGTCTAGCCGAAAACATCATCGGGTTTACGAGAAAGATTGGAAAGGTGTCTGTGCAAGGGACAGTGACACTGATAGGAGAAAGCAGAAGAGTAAAGAGAAGGGAAAGTGACTCAAAATGGAAATGTTTTCCTTCATCTTCCACAGATAAAAGTCTGAAAAAAACTCACTTTCCCATTGGGCTGCTTTGGGGCACCCTCTTTTGTTACAGCTGTTTTAGTAGTAGCCATTTTAGAGACCGCATTGGGTTCAGGCTTTCGCGCAGCACCGGTTGAGTCTGGCTTTTTCTCTACTTTCCCCTAGATGGAGACAAATGGATGATTTCAACCAGCAACAGCAAAACTGGGGGCAGGAAAGTATGGAGCACAAGCCCCCCAGGTACGCTTAGTGGAGCAGGCAACCCCGGATAACCTCGTACGGGCTCTGACTCTCAGGCAAGGGGTCATCCCATGCCCAGGATGACAGAACTCGGGAGGGGAGGGGAGGCTACGGGAAGCAGCCACCCCCAGACACGGGGTGAAAGAGGCACTCTAGCGTCCGTAAGTCAATAACTAAGGAAAGCTCTTCATTTCTCAACAAGCTTGTAGGTGCCCTTCATCAAGTATTTCACCACTTCCCCAGCAGTCACACTGGCAGGTCTCCTAGTGAACACAGTATATAGTATCCTGTGGAGGGGAAAAAAAAAAAAAAACCCAACCCAATCCTTTAGTAACCCAACAGCACTGCCCAATTCTTCATGCTGAAGATGTTACACTGCTCTTGGCGGCCAGCGTTATCTACCGACTGATTTCCTTCGCCTCTGCGCTCCAAGTGCTCTGCTGGATGCAGACACACTCAGCTTCCGTTTCTGGTTTCTCACCCACACACTGATCTGACTCAGGCTTTGAGATCAACAGCTGTTTTTATAAAAACAACCAAATGCAGGTGGACCTAATTAACTCAGCAGAGCAGAAAATTGAATGCAAATTACAGTTTTTAGAAACATTCAGCAGCTACCTGAGAACATCCATGCGAGTCTAGATCCTGATAAGTGCAGAAGAAACCGAGTTTTTTGGGCCAGCATAAATCCTATACTCCACTAACCTACCAGAAACGGAACAGTAAACCAACCCCCCCAGCACCCCTAAGGCATTCTCATACGCCGAACACATCCCAGCATACGTTAGCAACTTTAAAGACCACGAAACAGACAACGTTTTTCTCCAAATGTACAGCTATTAAGTTTTATCACTTCTATTAAAAAAAATTACAAAATAAAGGATAGCAGAAATAAATGTAAAAATAATTTCCCTTAAACTGGCACAATAAACCTGGCAGCTAAAAAGCTCTGCAATCCTTCAGAGCCCTAACACGGTTTAAAACAGTAGAACAACTTCAAGCGTTCGTTCTGACCAGATGGCTGAAGGATCTGTGAGCTTCGATTTCTTTTCAAGTTGCACTATATCGCATTGGAAAGGGTCGCCCTCCTCCTGCCTTCAAAAATCTTTCGGCAAATTTGGTTTGTCATTTCTAGAAAGTCTCTGTTTTGAGGAGCCGCAGTTCACCTTCTAGACTTCTAAGCCCTGAGGACCATATTATGGCCTTGGCCAAGACCATAACTAAGACATTTTTAACTTTTAAAGCTTAATTCCACGCATGTATCAACGGTGCGACACACAGCAACACAGCCCAAAACACCCTTCACTTTAATACGCCTACGAAGAGATTAAGGCTCTCAGCATGAAGTGCGCTCTCCTGGCATCAGATTAAAGTTAGACGCTGGGTTATTCACTCCAGAAGACCTGCAGTAGAGAAGAGTGGGCAAATTTGTTCCACTCTGTGGAAATTAAAGCCCTCTGACTACGGGCAAGCTGCTAACACATTCAGTCAGGCAAAGAGGGGCGTATCTGTTATTTAACAACCAATAAAGGTTTTAGGCTTGTGCATATCCACAAGATGACTTTAAACCCTCAGAGAGTGCTACAGGTACATCCCCAAACCTTTGCCATCTACACGGTAGATGTCCATAATGAAATTGTAATTTAAGCCCCTTTATTGATCAAGGGCCTCAAGCTACATCTATGCACGTGCTTTTCCCCGTCCTACAGCTCATTCACCGTTCTCCTCTCCCCCTTCTTGCAGCCACCAGAGGTTACCCCAGAGCAGCAGAGGCAGACCCACTCCATTTCAGCTTTAGGCCTGACGGGTTGGCCAGAGCCCTGGTTCCCAGGCATGGGACAGGTCCTGTGGGACTTGCTCCTGAATCCAGGTTTCCTTCGCTGTAGTGCGTCATTCCACCTTCGATACCCTTCAGCAGGCTCAATCCCTCTATTCCCAGGCAAAACTTTAGAATACAGACAAGGTTTGAGCTTTCAATACCAACGAGTTTCTCCGTCCGAATACACGACGGAGAAACAGAACCACAGGTCTGGATTCCTGTACGTGTGCCCGTAAAACCCATGACGGCTCTTAAGGTGGATTCCTTCTGCACACTAGTATCACTGCCTTGTTAATGCCTTGTGCACACACCAAGAACCCAAAGAGGAGCTCTGCAGAGCATAAACACGAGAAGAGCAGTGAGTATACAGCCACCAAAATTAGCAAAGAGCACCCGCAATGCTTAAGAGCTATGGTTTCAAAACGCATATGGTTTCCAAGTTGGAAAAGACTTACCTTTCCTCCACCAGGCTGATGCTTAATATTATCTGTTGATCCAATTTTGGAACGTACGTTTTTCAGATCCGGAGCAGAAACACTGCTGGTTGGGCGAGGCGGCTTGGAAACGGTGCTGGGTTTAGCCGGAGCCTTAGCAGCTGGTTTTTTAGCATCCGCTGTTGCGCTTGCGGTTGTGACGGGTTTGGCTGCAGCAGGCTTGGGTTTGGGACGAGTGGTGGCCACCGCAGGTGGAGCGGGCGTGCTCGAGGAGGCAGCGGAAGGAGTAGTGGCGCTCGTTTTTACAGCATTCCCAGAAGCGCTCTTAGGGCGGCCCAAGTCTGCTACGATAACCACAGGGATAGGCGGAGGGAGGGGAAAAAGACTGATCAGATGGGACTTACACAAACTTCCCTGGAGCCCTAAAGACATAGCGGCCTGTTTAATAAACACACCCGCAAGCAAGGAGGATTTGGTTTAGACAGAAACTGAACAAATTACCTGACGGTGACTTTGCAGTGGTCTTCTTGGCATCTGCAGGCTTTGCATCAGTCTTAATAGCTGCCCAATACAAAACACATGGTTTCAGGATGAGCAGCTTGATCAGCACTTCAGAGAGCGCGAGCCCGTTTGCCCAGACCCGAGCTTGCCCAGACCCAGGATCCCGGCGCAGCTTCCCCGGAGGGCCGGCGCAGGCTCTCCCCAGCTCCTTACACGCTGATGCTCCTCTTTACCCACGATACCCGTTTCTAAAAAGCTGTTTGAAAGAAAGCATCCCCAGAATTAACTGCTCTGTTTGAACACCTGGCTGAACTCCTCCACCTCACAACAGCAATTGCTCACGTTTTTCCAGCAAAAGGAAGGCTAAGAGGATGCTGCAACACGGTCGGGGCACGGCTTTGCTTTTTGTTTTTTCTTAAAATAACTTTATGTATCTGACAGCACTTTGCTCTAATGCTGGTTTAATCCTGCCCTAATTACATTTCTCAAAACAATTTATAGCGTTTCTTTACTAAAATGCCAAAGCAAAACCACGTTTGTCTATTTATAACCTTGGTACCATTGCTAGATCAATTCTAACCCAATGCCGATTTTCTTCACCTAGAAGTCACTGCACGTATTTTTGGTCTCTATTATAATTTTATGAAAATAAAAATCACTAAATTGAAAATACACCTTTAGGCAAACACCAATGACAGCGACCTGATGCATTCCACATAAGCAGAGCACGGTCTAAACCAGGAACAAATCTACACATCGCAAAGCGGAAGAAAACCATATACAAAACTGATCAAGGAAGAAGCATGGCCTGAAGAAAATACAAAGAGAACCTTACTTTTAAATAGTTCGTTTGATAATGAAATTGTAGCTTTTTGGACTATCAGTGATGGAGAACGGGCTAAAATTTGTTTCAACTTCAACAGGCAAAGGAAGGCAACATTATAAACAAAACCAAATAGAAAAGTCCGTAGAAAACTCATTAAGTTAGAAATCGTGGATTACTCGTGGAAAACTGATAAAAGGGATACTGATGACTGATTTAAAAAAAAGACACAGATGCAGATAACTTCTACCTGAGAGTCCTAAAAAGATGCTCGAAACCACTGCCTTCCAATATTTAATTTCCATCGACAGTCTTAGTTTTTTAGACAAACTCAAGTAGCTGGAAGGGTGCTTACGAAACGCCGATACAGAAAAGAGCAAAAAGAGGTAGATGCCTGAGACTTTGCTAAAAGCATTCAGTTAAACACCACAGGGAAGATACTAGCTAACGAGACAAAACATAAGTTGATTTTGGATAAATTTAGTTAAGTCCTTAAGGACAGATATATAATTCATACCAATCCCTTGAAATCCTGTCAGACAAACCTAATCTTATTCTATGAGACTGCAAGGTTAGTTGAGAAGACCGATTGCATGAATGAAACACACCTAGTTTTTATAAAGCTAAAAGGACTAATATGGTACTTAGATGTATAAAGAGAGGTAGCTACTTCTGTTCATGTGTCAGCGGGAAGTCAAACGCTACAACCCTTTGTGTTATTAGTGTGTGACGTCGAAAACTTAGAGAACGATAAAGCTACTGGTCAAAAAGAGAGAGGTGATCTTATAAAAAGGTACAAGTCATTCCACCAGGGAAACAAAAATAAAACATCGCATAACCCATGGCTTTCGTCTAGTAAAAAAGTGATTAAGATCTAATACCTGGAAAATGAAACCAGGTAATTTCAAAACAAGCCACTAACACACACATTTTAAAACAGTGGGAATGACTAAACAATTGCGTAAAACACAAGAAAGTGGCGGAGCTGCTTTTGACACATGGAAAGAAAGAGTAGGTACCTTAAATATCATTTTTAGCCAGGAACATTAACCGGTTCAATGGCAGGCAGGCAAACCGAACTGCCAATAATATATACAAGATCAGAAGAGAACCAGTTCTCCATCACCTACGTCTATGTATCTGACACCTCTTCCACCTAATCTGAATTTGTTAATGTTTGGCTCGTTTTGATTCCCCTTCAGGCTTCACAGCCTCCACGACTCCAGACAGGTTAGAAGACTATTCAGCCTCTATCGCGCCCTCGCTTTCTCCTCTTCAAAACAAGACTCGACTCCTTCCGCCATCCATGACTCCCCTCTGCATTTCCAGATCCACACCAAACTGCTCTAACTCCTGATGGGATTTCGCCAGCTGACCTCATCTCCACTGTCCACCCTATTCCCTGCCCATCCTTTGCCAATGTGCCATCCGCTTTGGTGGAGAAGCCTCTTCCCCTCTGCATCTTGCCACTTGGAACAACCTTCTCGGATCTCTGCATCATTAACTCCATCTCCTTTCAAATGTCACCAGAAAACACTTCTTTCTGCTTTGTTTGGGCCTCAGTTTTGGAAGGAGAAATTAACTTAATGGAACTCATTAAAACGTGTTAAGCATTCTGGGCTACAGTTGGTATAGAAGACTGCACAGAATTAATTGTACAAGAAGGCCCACAGGATCAGTTCAGGTGCACGGCTCTTGGGAAGTGCAATACTTCCTCAATACAGGATTAATTATATTTTCCTCTAAAGCGTCAAGTAAGGGATATATCTGGCCTAATGCATTTCAACATCATTAAAGCACTGACACTATTCTCTTGGGCAAGATAGGTTATCAATTTGTGCTTTGGGACCCTTAGAACAAAACTACTAATACGCATCAGTCTCACTGCATGCTTACTGGCAAGTTTTAATAATTGACTAATGAGATCTAGCCACTTGAAAAGACTTGAGGACATGTAATTATAGTTTTTATCTGAAGTTAAATCTCTCAAACCCCATTAAGGGGAATGCGAATAGTGTTTTCAAGCTTCTGACATGCTGCTCGTGTTTCACACTGGTTGTGTCAAACAGATGGGAAGCACCTTCGGCAACTGGGCCCTGAACGGGGTACAGCTTTCTGCTAAAGCGAAGGTGATTTCCACTTCAAATTCTTCCTGAGTTAGTCACGAGGGGAAAACCGAGAGACTCCATCTGCGGAAAGAAGGTGAAGCTCTTTCCTCATGAAAACTGCTACCCACATCCGTTCTAGGAGCGGTTTCTAACAAGTTTCCGTTACCACCTACGGGTAGCTATGAAAGTTCATCTTTGTGAAGCCAAGGGGTATCTCGACCAAGCAAGCACAGCACACGACTCCGTTCAAAAGTCATTCGCTTCCACGGGATCAAAAGTGAGGCTTGTGCCCGTCCTACAACTGAGCCCCTCCATTCTGCTTCAAGCTCCCCTAAGCTGCTCATGAGCTACAAACACCTTCTCAATGATAGCAATAACTGTCAGAAAATATAGCTTGATCCCATAAACAACCTAGGCTACCTAAAAGTAAGTCAGTGTCTTCTCACCTGAACGTTTACCTGATTCTAGCTTTACTCCAGGTCTAAATGTGGAAACTGTTATCAAGGAAACAACAAGTACAGTTATTCTAAGGCCTAAAACCTAGAACTTCGTTTTACAGCATGGAGAACGTATTACAGGTCAGCTAGTACATTTCCATGGCTATAACCCATCCAGTTAGGAATGGACCAAAACCAAGCAGGATTTAGCATACTCCTAGGTGAACTGCTGCAACGGCTAACTGTCTTCACCTCGAACTCTGCCTTTATCAGCCTCTAGCTGTTTTTCTGCTATAATAGCAAGTCACGCACTTTCAAGCGTTTTCTCCATATCAGTTCACCCTTCTTTTGGGTATACGAGATTGAACACTTGCAGTCCCATCCTGCAGGTTTGTTTTTCCCAAGTTTTAAATCGTTTCCAAGTGTTTATTCTAACTATTATTATTAAAAGTACAGACTTAGTAGCTCCCTTATTCTTAAATCAAATATGTCCAATAATTATATCAGCCTCACATCACACAGAGCTGTTGCAAGACCACATGTTCAACCGGTAATCCAAGCTGACTTTCCACATCATTCAGATTCGCTTTTTGGAAGAGGAAGTCCTACCGAGAAAAAGAGTCGAACCTACAGCCTTTGTGCCTTGAGACAGGATCTTGTCTTACGCTGTAGTAAGAGGGTTATTTCAGCTATCGTTACGCCTCCAATCAACTTCTGACAGAGAGGGCAGTTTACACCTCCCAGCACTACTGCTGCAGAGCAGCTTGGTCTTCTCACGAGCAACACATTTCAAGGGTTTGTTTTGTTCTCATCTGAAGATCTGCAAGACTGTTCACTGGGAGACTGATTTTAACAAACTGACGGGGTCACAGGGAGACCGCCACACGACGACTCCTCCGCAGCGACGCAGGAACAAGTGCTCAGCAGCACTGGAACAAGCGATAGATAGACAAATACCTTACTGGGAACCGCAAGAGCTACTCGCACAAGAACTTGCAGTCATTTAGAAAGAGAGATCGTCTGAAGAAACGCAAGCAAATACTCACATGTCGGCCTCTTCGGTGGAGAGGCAGCAGTGTTTTTCACACCAGATGCTGCAGCGACGGGAGATGCTGCAGTGGTCCTGGGAGTAGCTGGGCTGCTCCTGACAGTAGTTCGAGGCGTGACAGATGACGGTGGCTTTGACAGTGAGGTCCGCTTATCCGGGCTCTTTGCATCTGTAACCTGAAAAGGAACAGGCTGCATTAAAGCCAATACTTCACCCGCAGTCTCTTCAATGTGTTTGCCAACAGAAAGCCTGAAATGAATTTAAATCCTAATAGAGGAGGCACAGTTGTTTAAATTCTTGAGCACATAAGCTAGGCGCTGTTGAAACAATATAACACAGAAGATAAACAATATATATAATTAAGATATACAGAAGTGGCTGATCATATTTAACACAGGACACAGAACACAGACCCTGCTGAATACTAGACTTCATCCCTATCTGCTTCAGAGTTAATGGGCAGAGTCCATTTACAGATCTGCACAGGGCAAAATCAGTCCACTAGCAATATTTTTCGGGAGAGTTCCTTCTTTTACAAGTAAAAATGCTTTCTAAGCTAGAAAGGCATCTTTTAAAGCACCCAGGACACAAGGGATCCAACAGTTGATAAACGAGTGACCTGTCAGGGACAAACATGAAACAGTTTTCCTGGTGAAGACTGAACCGTGGACACCAGTGCCTGGATTAACCCAGGATTTCAGTACTTGAAAACAAATGAGATTAGACTAAGTACTTAAAAAAAAATTAGGATGATGCAAAAACGTAAATAAAACTGAAGCCACTGGTTCACAAAAAGGCAACTAATCCGTGCCGTTTTGGTTTAACTTCAACCACGCCCCGTCAGGGCACTCTGTCTCTTAGGAATTCAGCTCCGGAGCAGCATGTTCAGTATTACCTACCGAAGGTCCAGCGTTTCCATCAGAAGATAAACTGACTTGGTTCTAACGGCTACGGATTTACGTCTGTGGGGTTTTGTTTGTTTTTTAAATACAGACACTCAAGAGAAATTTCTTAAGTGTAAAAGCGTAGTATAAGTGATTTCAAACACCAACCAAAAACTTCTGAAGCTGATGTTAACATCCCCTTCCACTTCGAATCCCACTGCTGTATGATGACTTGCGTGTGAGGGGTCACGAACAGAAGCGTCTTCACAGTAGAGCAATATTACTTACAACCAAATCTGTGTGTTTGTCGAATGCATTTAGAATAAATTAAAAAAGGTAAAATAATTTCATCTGTCAAGCTGAATGACAGCAGAAAACTCACTAGGTTTTAAAATTCAGCTCCACATCAATATGTCTCTAGGTAAGAACTTTTACAACGTTTCTATAGTGTTTAAAATTGATCAGACCGATCTGACTGATTTTTTTGTTTGTTCGTTTCCTTCCAGAAATGGAGTGCTAAACACCAATACTGAAGCTCTCCGTTCAGTTTTCCTGTACTCTTCCCTGGATTTAACAGTAACCCTAAGTGTGCAATATATCTCTCTCTACATATCTCTATTAAAAGAATCTGGAAAAAAAAAAAAAAAAAGACCAAATTTCTTGCATAGCCTGAGGCAGTTCACAAGAAAAATGACAGTAATACAGTCTAGTTAAATTCTCTCCTCTGTGATGACACATAAAATTGAACGCTTGGGACTTGAAGCTGTGACGGAGTTATTGGAAGCTGATGCTAATAGCTGTGCAGCTCTCGCAACACAGTGTTTCAGGTTCTCGATCTCATTTTCCCAAGATTAGTGCTAGAATTATGTTTTGACTCGTGGGTAAAACAGTTGGAAAGTTAACACGAAAAGCTCTTGGAGCTCCCACACAAAAGCAAATCGTCTCTTACCTTTGGTTTAGCCTCCTTTGGAGTTAAGGTGGCAGGACGTGTGCTAGTGGTGGCCGGGCGTTTAGGAGTGGTGGCCGCAGTAGGACTGGTGGGCTTTTTGTTTTGGCCAGGCGTAGCGGAGGCCGGCCGCTTGGGGCTGGTAGCGGACAGAGGCCTGGCTTTCGGTGCGGCAGGCTTGGCTGATGGTGTGGATGCTGCAGGCTTTACGTTTTTTCAAAAAGCAAAATCCAGTATGAAAGCAAAAAAACACCCAAAAAACAAAAACACAACACAACAAAACACAGTGCGTTGTAAACCAAAACATCAAGCTGCAAGAACATAAAAATGATATTTAAAAATCAAATGAAAAAAATAAATAGCTTTCTGTTTTCTGAGCGTAACAAAAAGACCAAAACGAAGCAGCAGTAGAGGGCCCAATGGATTTTTGCCCTTCAATCCAATATGAACAGGATTTACTCCAGCGACACCCAAAGCAACCGAAGGAATCACTGGTAAAGCTGCGATTAGTAATTGGGTATTCCTGACCTCTTGTCCTACGCGCAACGAGCAGGACCTTGCTTTCCAATTACACGCGTGCAACAGATTGCAAGCGCTAAATCCTGCTCTGGTCAGCTCCGGTGGTCGCACTCCCACCGCCTTCGAGGGGAGGGGGACCCTGCCCCTACCACCACCGCTACTGCTACTACTTCCAGAATTTGGGTTTGGATTTTGTCGAGCGCAGCAAGCTGCTGAAGGCAGGTACCTTTCATATACAGCCCTAAAATAAGTGAACACCAGGTCCTGATCAGCATCTCCACGTGCTAACTGTAATGCAAATAAGCGAGCAGAGAAACAACTAGGACAGTATCGGTGTTCTGGAAATGTCACTAGAAGCGTTTCCTACTTCCACATCACAGGCACCAACTAGGCAATTATTTACGTACAAGCTTACTGAAACTGGATTTAATAAGTCTATAATCAGACTTGCTAAAGGCTGAGTTGTTTGCAACTGCAAAATTGAACACCTTTGTTTGAGTAAAATAGTTCATACGCGGCAGCTCAGAAAACAGAACGTGTGCCACCATGGCTTAAGAAGCAGAAAAGCTGGTGATTTAAAACCATGGAGAGGAGCGCCATGAACGTGAAACGGTGCCTACCTTCGCTTTCTTCTCAGGGCTTGGAGGAAGCTCCTTGTTTGGAGGTGCGGTGATATCATTCCCTGTCACTGCTTCAGCTGGCTTGGTCTCTTCTGGTTTTGCTGGCAAAAAAAAAGGAGGAGGACTTCTTAAGTTTAGGCTCTTTTGTCTTGGGCTTTTTTTTTTTTTTTTTTAATACAATAAAAGGAAGAGCAGAAGCGAGACAGTTACAGGTTGGGTGTTTCTGGAAAAGTTCCCAAGAGTCACAACACTGACAAGAAGAAAGATTTCTGCTGTGCTGGGACACGCCAGCACGAGTTCATCCAGATGCCAGCAGCATCCAATTACTCAAGTTATGCCACAGTGAGAAGAGAGACAGCTGATGACGGAAACATCTGTTTCAATGAACATAAACTTTCCCATCTTTCAAGTTCTTTTGTTATTGCCGCTTCGTCTTGACCTCTCTTCTTCCATATCTCAGTCTACAGCAACTGCCCACAACCACGTTTTACAGCTCACCATGAACAAGGAAGATTCCCAGCAGCCAAAAGGAGCTGGCCTAACAAGAGGAAAGGTCGGAAGGGAAAGCAGGAATATGGGAACCACGCTCCACACAAAGCTGCGATTACAGCCGTTACAAAGGGTCAAAGGCTGCCAGATTTTCTACTGCCATTGCTCATTTTTGTCATTGCCACCAAAGGTTTTTATGATGAGTCAGGCAAACTGAATACACACGTACTCCTCGTAACAGGAGCGCAGTAGCCACCACCCCTGCTTTGGTATGACAGTAGATGGTAGCCACCATCTACGCTCAAACAGCCTCTAAAGCATTGTTAAGCCTCCAGCAAAAGAACAAATAAGGCCCTCCAGAAAAATAAATAATATAACAAAACATTAATTTAGAAGCAGCTTCACTAAAGCTTTAGGACTCTTGAGGACTCGCGACAGAACTGTCACCGCTCTTTGCGCCATGAGATGTGTAAGAGGCACCATCAGCTTCCCCATAAACAGCTTTGGAAATACCGCAACACCCCGTGGTGTGTGTTACTGCACAACTGTACGGGCTACGAGCCGTTTTCCCCTGCGGTTCCTGTGGTATTGGAATTGTATGAAGGACACGGCACAAACAACCCGTCACAAGCGTATTCATTTTCCCTTGTCATCTGGGGATTAAAATAAAGAGCATCTGTACTGGATGTTTCTTTTTATAACACCACAACAGGCTGTCATGCCGCAGCGCATGATAAGGGCCCACCAGACAATAGCGTAGCAATTTCAACAGTAAAAAGGTTGTTTTCCCACATCTTTTGAAGATTACTATTTATATTTCACATTCTCTTGCTTGCCAGTCTTCAAGGGAGAGTCTCAAAGAACTTTCCAGTTGCGGCAGAAATTCCGTTGCTGAAACCAGCAAAAATAAATCAGTGCCTTCTGCCAATTTTGAGGATGCTCAGCCAAAGGGTGATTGGGTTTTCGGTTGGTTGGTTGGGGTTTTTTTTTTTTTTGACTCCATGATAAATTCTAGCAGCTTTTTTTTTTCTTGCATTGTATTAGCTTCTGTCTAGTCACTTAGCTTCCAAATCACACTCAGTGTCAAACAGCACTGAATTTAACGCTCAATGCATACAAAAAAAGACTTCTAAAGAAAACAAGCACTGAGATGTCCAGGTGGGATATTATTGTTTTTAATGCAAAATTCCTAAGAATCAAGGATCGTTCATGTTCGTCTGGAAAGCCTATTTTTTGTAGCTAATCTGCACTGGCTCCTCTGAACTAGTTTTCTCCACTAAATTTCAATAAACCTCATTTAATTTGTCCATTTTATCTACAGCAATACTCGAAGAAGCAATTGTCATCAACAGTTCCTGTCTGCAAACAGCGTGTTTCTGTGCCTTTGCTGTTCTTCGCTTCCTTACAATCCATGTCTAGAGACTCACTTTGAATCCTCCTCGTCTCAGGTATCACAGCTATCAAGGGGACCTTCCATCAGCTAGAAGTTACCTTTCACGTGCTGCCAATCGTTACTATTGCTTCAGCTAATTCAGCAGCAACATTAAACCGCTCGCTTGACGACAGCGTCTGAACGTGCGTGCATCGACACGGGTCTCGTTCAGGAAGCCTAACGCAGCTTTTCAGAAAAACTGAACTCAAAGATTCACCGACTCCAACAGCTCTCATGCTTCTGAAGTAACGAAAGGGGGCTGCACGTAGTTTCAGGTTAATTACATACAGACTGCAACATGGGAAACGTTCAAGGGGAACGACTTCAACTGTCACACAAACAAAACAAAAATAGGTTCTCTAACAAAAACAAGAGGGTCTCTACAGGACTACCTAGCTTCCATCAAACAAATAGGTATTTTTACGTAAGACGGAAATGTAGCATCACCAAGCTGAGGGAGCCACACAGCAGGATAACGCACGTCTAGGTTATTCAGGTCGTATTTGTAAATAAATAAATAAATAAATAAATAAATAAAGATAATGAACCCAGGATATCTGAGTAGGGAACTTTGCTATCTCTTGGGCCACCCTGAATGGGACCATCGGTCAGGTTGCATTTATTGTAGCCTCAGATACGCCGGGGAACATACCCCTCAGGGATTAGAGAAGGATAGTCTTGTTTTGTGCTGCCTCGATGTAAGTAACCACCCAACGTGCTCATCAGGATGTTGGCTTTCATTCGTCGTTTAATTACGAGGCTTCGCTCTCCCATACAGAGCGGAGAACTGCCAGGGAAGCTTGGCTAGTTACAGGGAATATTAGGAAAAGCTGCCAAATCTTAATCAAATTTGTTCATTAGGCTGTGAGAATTATTTAAGAGACTTTTCAGTTTGCTCGTTCCTCCAAGCACGGCAACAAACCTCCAAAGGGTATTTCAAGGACGCTTTGTCCAAAGCTGTAAGGGCGATTGCTACTCTCTCCCGACCAGAGCCGACCCTTCGCTGCGGCAGCTCCTGCTCGCCCCGGCGTTTGCTGACTCGGCACCGGGAATCCAGTTACTCCCGGGGGGAAAGATGCCGGGGGCTTGAAGGAGAGAGAAAAGGACGCTCCACACTGGCATCTTCCTCGGAAAAGCTGAAGGGTACAAACCCGAGATCAGTCACGGTGCCCTCCTGCTATTCACTGCAACGGCAAACGCAGAGTGCTGCACTGCGCAGTCCTCACGTATATCATCTGTTAGACAATAAGGATGTTTTTAACCCAGAAAATCAAACTTCTCATATGTATCAGTTCAAAATACTGTGATGCACCACTGCTTCCCAATTTCCAAGAGTGACACTGGAAGAAATTATTTAAATCTAGGTAGATCAAAGAAAACAAGCGAGTCCACAGTTAACAGCTAAACCTGCGAACCCCAAACTCCAGATTTTTCTTTGAGGCTTTATAGACAATTACGAAAGAGTAAACTTGATAAAGGGCACTTAGGCTTCCCTTAACGGTGACACTGAGCACACTTCTGACACGCTCCCCACGACAGCCGTCAGGACGAGGGATCTTGATGAACGCTGGCGATCTAGAAACCCCGATGCGGAGGGCTCTACCTGCGGGGCGCCCCGGTGCTTCTCCCACTCCCGCTACGCTGCGGGCACTTGGGGTTCAGACCAGATCAAGGGGTCTACCTAGCCTAGCACACTGTTCTCGAGAGGCCTGTTACCGACAGTTCGGGAGTATGAGAACAGGCACACACAGATTACTTCCCCTGTATATTACCCTCGGTATCATGTGAACATTATAATTCACTGAAAACATAGCTTAAGCACTCTCTTGCTGGTTGAAAACTCAGGTGAGACCGTCCTTGCTGGGCACCACCAGGAGCCTCCCAGCAGCTACCCGCCATCCCCGGGGCCGCGGGCCAGGTGGCTCCTGGCAGGCTGTGGGGTGACAGAGCCGGGAAGCGAGGCCCGCAGGGGCCGAGCGCCACCGGGCTCCCTGCACCCCCTGTGCTTACCAGGGTACTTCTGCAGGGGTAGGTTGCGCAACTCAGTCCTGCTCAACGGCCATCTGCAGGGACGTAGGGCTAAGACTAGGCACAGAAGCCGTAGCACGGATGCTACGTTTGGCAAAGGCACGCAGGGGCCAACAAGTTAAAAAGCATATTTTTGAATACTTTTTATCACCAGAAACCAGATATCGGCCATTACTGGCTGAAGGACCCAGCAAACAAGGCCATGGGATGCTCAGACAAACAGGAAGTCAGTGGGAGCAAGACTTTTATCTGTTAAAGACCGCTGAGTTTTCAGAATTAGCACAAAAGGTGATCTGTGCCAAAACTTGACCCTCTGAAACGAACAGAAACTTAAAATTAAGGTTCATGCCTCAACTGCTTGTAATAAAAAGGGACAATACTACTCCTTTAGATCTTAATAGTTAAGGAAAACAAGTGTTTGTTTGTCCTTATGTTATCAGGGTGAGCCATAAAAAAAACGCCACTGAGGACATTTATAATTCTGCCTACAATAGCCAAGTCTGAGCACTGTGATGCAAACAAAGCATGGTGGCCATCCACGTAACAGTGACGATACCACGACACCTGGAGCAAGAGCGATCTTCTGAAAGGAATATCACCACGCGATTGCAGATCGAAGTCAAAGGGAGCCAACTTACCAACGCGTGCACAACTTTTAGACGTCTTGCACATTTTTAGTGCTCAAATTACTTGACTTCAGGTATGAATACAACAGTTTTCTGAATGCCATGTTTTAAAAACAAGTCACCTTTTCATAGATCTACCAGCTGCTACGTAGGTAGCTAAATTAACAAAGTTGACATAGCTGTTTTCTTTCCCTCTGTTAATATTACATCCTTTCAGGGAAGCACAACGCTATATATTTGACCTAAACGACCTTTACATATTCAGAGCAAAGAAATTCAGAAGCTATTTTAGCTTCTCTGTGCGACCCTTGGTTAATCCGGGTTTTTGGTAATAATAAAAAGCTTAATTACTCATGAACCCAGGTGTCTGAGAAGATTCTTAGCATATTTTATCCTCAACCTCATTCTTCGCACACGCTGCCAGTTTCTCTAAGGTAACTAACAGCAGGTTAGTTATCACTAGAAGAAATGTAACGTGTTACGACGTAGAGCTTGGTTGATTTTAAGCTCTGCTGTCTGTAACCCA